CGGGGAGCCCCAGCGGAGACGCAGCCCCCGGGCCCGCCCCGGCCTCGTCAGCCCCCGCGGGCAGCGAGGACGCGGAGAAGAAAGTTCTCGGTGAGTCCTCGGGTGCAGCCCCGGAGAGGCGGCAGGCGAGGATGGATGCGGATACTGGGCGGGCTGGGACACGTGGGCCGGGATTTGGCGTCTTTGCCGTGGGTCCGGAAAGCAGCGCGTTTCCTGGGGGGAAGATGGGGATTCCGGGGAGGGATGGGCGGGGTGAATTGGGAAGACTTTATTGCTTTTTTTTCCCCCCTTGCCTGGGAGGGTCAGGTGTCTGTCCCCGACGCCCTTCCCTCGTGGGTTTGGGACAGCCGCCATGCTCCTGCCAGCCACATGCCGGCACAGGGATGTTGCAACGTCTCGGGAAACTTGGGGCGGGCGCAGGCGCCCTCCCCACCCCTCCCCGTGGCACAGAAGCAAGGAGCCTTTCAGTGCCCACCAATTGCTGCACATTTCCATCTCCCTGCACTGTGGGAACGCACGTGGTGTGGCGGCTGGGGAAAAAAAAAAAAAAACAAAACTTGGTCGGAAGTGGAGTAGGACGTGTGTCCAAAACCTGATTACCTTAGGATTTGTAACTGGAAGGAAAACGGGAAGGTAGAGACTGGGGGCAAAGGCTTTGCAACGGTGGCTGTTGGTTTTGTCCTACACTTCGGTGTCTTCATCTTCCTTAAGGAACGCCTGGTGTGAGGATTTCCAAGGGCTTGCAGAACAGGTGGGTGGCGGATAAGCTCCCCGAAGGGTGTGTGCGTGGCGCATGTGGTTCGCTCTCCGAAACAGGAAAGTTAACAGATGGTATGGGAGGCATCAGAAAATGTTCACTGTTTCTGGGTGGGACCGATTGGGCTCGTCTGCCCTCCCAGCTTTCTCCCCATTTAGCAAGAAAGCTGAAGGCGTAATGTGGAAGAAACAGAACATCGTTTGGTGTTGCCCGCTCTTGACAATCCTTCGGTTCTTGTTTTTCCAAGGCTTTACAAACTCAGTTCCTGCCAAATTATGTGCTTTTTTTGTCTTTTTCCCTATCCGCACCAAAGAAGTTCCTTAAAGGTCTTGAGAGTGTTGCATTGTGGTACTTTCTTTCCACCAGATGCTGCTTGGAACACTTCCACACAAAATGAAAGATCGAAAGGACCCGGTGTTGCTAACCAAAGCAGGTTCTTAATGATACCTTACTGAGGGCAGATGGAATCCTACAGGTTTTCACTTGATCCTTGCACTTCTGGTAGATAATGTCTGTGGAGATGGAGGGAGCCGATAAATGAAGGTTAATTTCCGCAATCTTCAACAGTTAATTCTGTTTCTACCAAATACCTAGTGATGAGTCTGGTGTCTTTCATCCTGCCATACAAAAGTCCAGACTATCAAAATGAAGGGCAAGCCTTCCACCTGACACTTGAGCACTGTTTGTTTTTGTCCGCTGTGGTCTGCCATCTCCTTTGCCAACCAGACACATGGATGCCCAAAGTGTTCTGCACCCAGTGCTGACTGAAATGGATATCTGTTCTTGGATGCTGTCGTTCTGGTCTTTGCAAAGGTGCCTTAACTTTGTTTTACACCATGTAGTCCTTTAGGGAAAACAGTTTATATGATTAAAAAGAACCGGAGAGGGGAACTCCACCAATTTCTTGTTGGGTGCTTGAATGTTTGAAGTAGTTAAACAGTGTGAGTGAGTTTGTTGGGTTATATTAAGTCTTTGGAAATATTTGGAGAATTATTATTTTTTTTTTGAGTCTCCAACTCATTAGAGACGCACCTGCCTCTGCCTCCCAAGTGCTGGGATTAAAGGCGTGTGCCACCACTGCTCAGCTGAATTAATATTTTTAAATCTACTTTGAGAAGTAAACACCTTCAGCCTTGAAAACAGACTTTTCTTTTTCATGTTTCCCCTTGTGATGTTGTCATTGCTTGTGATGTTGTCATTGCCTTTGCCCCTCACCTTCCTTGTATGCGTCTTTTGGTTTTGCACTTCTATTTTCTTTTCCAGCCTGGTCTCGCATCACTCCTTGAAGCAGAGGACTTTTAACTCCTTGTCATCCTGCCTCCACCTCTCAAGGGCTGGGATGACAGGTGTACATCATCACACTCAGCTTAATGTCACCCTTCTCTCATCGGTTTTGGAACTCTGAGCATCTGTCTGTAGGTCGAGAGTCAGTTTGTAGGTCCGGAGTCAGAACTCAAGAGGGTCTGTCTGTAGGGTCCGGAGTCAGAACTCAGAAAGTCTGTGTAGGTCCAGAGTCAGAACTCCAAGAGTCTATCTATAGGATTTTGAAACAAACACAAAATCCTCACATGTAGAAGCCTGACGTAGAGGTCATGCTGTATGTCTGTCCAAACCTGGCTTCTTTTGGGTGTTGACACCTGAAGCCTCAATTTTCCCCCTTTGCCTTGCAGCACCAATTAGATTGGTTTAAAACTAAAGGCTGAATAGCTTTTCAAAGAAAGCCAAGATGTTTTTGCAAGCCTGCCCGTGTGCCACAGTCGGAACAGCATCATCTCTGAGAGGCAGCCTAGATCTGTACCGTTCACTCCCAAGCTTTTCCTTTAAGTGCATCTTGCCAGGTTTTCTGTTTGACTGAGTTTAGAAGATTGTCTTGTGTGTTTCCTGGATTTAGGCCTATTTCCTAGAGATACTAAATTTGGCGTTTACCATCAATTCCAGCAGTCATGTTTGGAATAGTTTAAGCTTAACATGTATCTACAAAAAATATGTAGATTGTTTTTCTTCATGAATTCTCAAGTGAGACTTTGTAGAGAAATTAATCAGCACGTGACAGACTAGAGACAGTAATTCAAGTTGACTGTAGAGCATGCCAGGGTCTCCTGCTCAGCAGCTGAAGACTGCAGGGAGAGACCTTGGTGAGAAAAGGGCCTGTTGTGTCTTGGATGGCAAGTACAGAACTGGGATGAGACAGCATCAGTTCTATTATTACTCTGGACTGGTGAGCAGCCCTCATTTGGCCACCAGACAAGTTTCTTTATATCTTTGTAGATTGATTACTAAGAAGGAGCTACTGTGTTGCCTGTTAAAGTTTGCCTAGTATTTCAAAGTATGAAAATGATAAGATGGCCCAGCTATCTGTACATTCTCTGTGCACACAGGAAATGTCTGAGTGGATAACTGGAATGTGTTCCTTTTTGTCCTTTTGTTGTTGTTGGTTTAGTTTTGTGTTGAGGATCATACCTGTTGCCTGCTTAATGCTCAGTGCTTTACCACTGAGCCAAGCAAATCCCCAGCCCTGGAATGTCCTGGGGCTTTTTTATTTTTTAAGGATGGTCTTATGCAGCCCACATTGGCTTCAGACTCCTGATCTTCGTGCTTTTACCTCCCAAGTGCTGGGTTTATAGGCACCTGCAGCCACTTCTGCCTCACAACTGAGTCTTCACCAGCATTTCCTCACCCATCTTTCTTAGTTTTAATTACTGCAGAATTGTCCAGGCACGTGACCACTCCTGAGGCCTTGGTAAAAAGTACTATGCGATAATCACAGCTCCACATTTCTTCTTCTTTTTCTTTCTTTCTTTCTTTCTTTCTTTCTTTCTTTCTTTCTTTTTTTTTTTTTTGGTGGTAGTGGGGGATTAAGCCATTAGTGGTTTACTCAAGGATGTTTAGGCTTAGTGTAATGATACTAGGACCTTAGTGATGTGAGCTTTATCTCTTTGTAGGTCAGGTGCTAACATATCTGCTTAATCCTGTTTTAGCCACCAAAGTCCTTGGCACTGTCAAATGGTTCAACGTCAGAAATGGATATGGATTTATAAATCGGTATGTGTCTGTGTGTCTTGTACCACCCACCTTGTAGCAGTGGCAGTTACAAATCCATTGTCCTACTTTATTAATAGACTGTATATTTACATTTTGAAATTCCTAAGCACAGTAAATATTCTCTTTTAAGCTTTTGGTGACTATATTGAGACACATTTAAAAACATTCGTAAACTCTAGCCTGTAGCAGGCAGCAGAGATGAAAACTACAGTCAAATGGGGAGCACTTTAGTTATATCCATAATTTCACAGATGGAGAAAGGGGAACCTGGTTAAGCAGCTTTCTTTAAGGTCACACAGTAATGAGTAACTTAGCTGGGGCTGTACGCCCTGCCCTGGTTTGGTCCAAGTCCTGTGAGGAAACCAGTGTTTAAACCGTGGTCCCTTGTGACCACTTGGCAGTGAAGTTGACCACAGGCACTGGGAGACATGGGGGATGTATTTTACAGGGTCTTAGCGATTTTCTCTTTCCTTGCTTTTTAAAAACCAATTCCTCCATTTTCTTCCTTATCTGCCTGGATGGGGTAGTGGGAGGGCTGTTTTAAGTTTCAGTGTAAGGAGAGCCTAGTTCACAGCTGTGCCCTGTCCTTTTGACTGTCTTGCTTTTGCTAGGAGGAAAACTTAGGGCTCTGATTACATAGCATGTGATTGAGAAAGACATGAGAGCAAAGGGGTGTTTGTGTGGAATCCAGTGCTTGGATCTCTGCATTGCAATGGGGTGCAGTCAAGGAGCATCTGGGAGAGGTGGGGGTTATGGAATTGGCTCTAGGCACCTGTTTTGAAAAGACAAACTACTTAAAAGGTTGTGTTTTTTAGGTCTTGAGATCTCAGTCAATACATTTGTTCTTTGAAGCCTCTCTGAATGTTTAGAACCTTTAATGGTGTGTTTGTGTTTTCTGCCTCCCAACAGAAATGACACCAAAGAAGACGTGTTTGTACACCAGGTAAGAGGGATTCTAGCAGTTATACTCACATGGTCTGTGTGAGTTCTGCAAATGATTACAGTATCTTGAGCTCCTTTGGTTTTTTTGGAATCGGCGCTCAGTTCAGCATTACTAAGAGTGGTAGATAAACCTTCGTACCCATCATATTATCAGATTTCAAGCATTTGTGTTGTTCCTTTTCAAGTTTGAATGAAGTTATACTCAGTTAAACCACTTTCTGGTATTTAGAGCCCAGGAGTCCTTATCCAGACAACTGCTTCCATGTCAGCTTCTGACTGGTCTGATTGTGTGGTTCTTGGTGGTTGACCAGAGCAACCTGGGTTTTGCCTGAATCCGTGGTGGTAGATAAAGCTCGTTAGTCTCGTGAACATTACCCAGAAGCAGAAGGTTAGATGTGTGTCTGAGACATGAGAACTCTTCCCATTTCTCAGGCAGTTCTCCCTCCTGTTGACTCAGACTTGTCCAGCACGTCTGGTTCCATGGACCATCCCTCAACCCCCTCCAGTTCCCTTCTGTTTGAAACAAATTGAACAAACGAGTATTATGGAACTCTACTTCATGTGTCTCGGTCCTCAGATGTTCTTTATTATGATCCTAGATTGTTAGCTTTATAGAGTAGATTAGAAATCACACCTGTTCTTGCTCTTCCTTTTGTATATTCAGTCTGAAAGAGGCATGCACTGTCAGTGTCTCGATGAGAAAGCATGGCGGTGACACACTGACCTGCAGTGGCTGCTATGCTCTGCTTGTTCCCTTGTGTTTGTGTTTGTGTGGTTTGGGCTGAGGTGGGCAGTGGGGGATAGCCACAGATAAAGACTATAGTTGTATTTGCCATCCTTCATGTTTGCCCTGTGGGATGGATATGTTTCTGTTGATCTAGAGAATTGGAGTGGATTTGTTGAGAGGAGTCCTAACACACTGAAAAGGAAGTTGACGGTAACATCTGGAGGTTAATGGCTTTGGGAAAAGCTCCCTGTTCAGTGACTACTGGGAGAAAGGGGTTTCCATGCTAGTGGAGGCCTCCTAGGCTGTGAGCTAATGACCCGATTCCAGCCCCATGAGGTTGTGTGGTGAGTCACCTCTGTGTTGAGGCCTGCCCAGTTTAACAGGAAAAAGGGAATGAGCCGGCAGGGAGGGGCTGTTTTTTGGAATGGCTAAATGTTCCTGTTGTGTGTGCATACATCCTGTCCCGAGCTGCCTCCTTCTGGAGAGGGTGAGGTCTCTGCCCTATTGGCTCACTTTTCCCCCCTCTTTTCTCCCTCCTACTCAGAGTAGAGGAAGACTGGATTACACATGTCTAATCGCTTTATAAAATAAGGTTGACCTAGTTCCATAGAAACTCCCCAGCCCTTTAACTGCTTAGAGATGACCAGCCAGGGAAGTGGAAATTTGTTGAGGTTCCTTCTCTCCTTGTATTTGAAAAAGAGAAGGGGCTTTTCTTAAGTAGACCATGTAGGTGCAGATGTCTGGTAGGAGTGGCATCTTCCTCAAGTTTTCTACTGATAGCTGACATGTGAGGTGTGAAATGTTGAGAACTTAACAGAGATAATACAGGGATACGAATCTCCTCCATTTGAGCCTGCTAACTCAGATAAGTCACCTGTTGACCTCATGTTTTCTCATTCATAAAGTGAATAGCGCATAGAGACCAGGTTACACCTGAGTGTCGTCATTTCTGAAATGATCTTGTTTCTCATTATATTACCATAATATTTATGGCTATAAACGTTTATCTCCTTGATATTTTATTCCTTTTTTTTAAAAATCAGTCATTTTATTTATTTACCTTGTGAGGCAATTTCTTTCTCTGTCTACACTGATCTTGAATTCTGTTGCCCAGGTTGACCTCAAGATCATAATGATCGTCTGCATCGAGATCATAATGATCCTCTTGCCTCATCCTGCCCCCAACCAAGTGTTGATAATTTCAAACATGAGCCACAAAGCCCATCTTTATTTTTGAGAAAGAATCTATTGTTGAAATCATGATCCTACTGCTTCTACCTCCCAAATGCTAGGATTACAAGCATGCATCATTGTGTTCAGCCACACATACATTTCTATTTATGTGTGTGTGTGGGTAGTTATGTGCACATGAGTGCAGTGCCTGTGGAGACCAGAAGAATCACCAGATCCCCTGTGTGGTAGTTACCCACATAGTGGTGTGAGAGCCCAATTTAAGCCCTTGCAAGAGTAGTATGTGTCATTGCTACCGAGCTATTACTCCAGCCTGCCACCCGCTTTAAAAAAGCTTTTGAGGCCAAAAATTTGTGTGTATAAAACCTCTGTGCCCAAACCTTGCTTATGTGTCTGTATAAGGTTTTGTATAGGCATTTTTGCCCTTGTGAAAGGAGCCATAGACAGAACCTTAGGAGCCTCTTGGCTTGATGTAACTGACCGATTTAGTGTCTTCACTGGGTGACAGAGTGAACAAGAATGACTTTCTCCTTAATGCACCTACTCTGGATACATTTTAAAGCACCCTGAAACCAAGAAAGAAATGTGCAATGTGGTATAGAGTGGTTTTTGGAGCTGGCAAGGTGATGGGAGTATGAGTTGTTTTTGTTTTGTTTTGTCTTAAGTAAAATACAGATATAGTGATCTGGCTAACATGAAATTGATGAATGCCTTCAGTATTGGAATGTACCTTCAATGGAGTTTTCTTTTGCCTTGACAGACCGCCATCAAGAAGAATAATCCACGCAAGTATCTGCGCAGTGTGGGAGATGGAGAAACTGTTGAGTTTGATGTGGTTGAAGGAGAAAAGGTGAGAAGCTGGCAGTGGAAGAGTGTGTCAGCACAGTTTTGTTGTATAATAAGTGGCTTTCCAGCCTTAGTGAAGTAATGTTTAGGTTTTTTATGATAGGAAGAAGTGGAGGCAGAAATATCTTACTGGGGGAACTGGAGAGATGGCTTGGTGGTCAAGAGCACTGGCTGCTCTTCAGAGTACCCGAGTTCAATTCCCAGCACCCACATGGCAGCTCAAAACTGTCTGTAACCCCAGTTTCAGGGGATCTGACACCTTTACACCAATGCACATAAAATAAAGATAAATTTTTTTTTTTAAAAGAAGTATCTTACTGGATACCAATATCACTATAAATATTTGGTATGCTATATATTTTAGTTTCTTGTTTTATAAAGGAACTCTGGAATAAATGCTAGTATCTCAAAGTCTGTTTTACTTTGGAACACAAACTGTCTTGGGTCAGGCATGTAGCCCAGTTGGTAGAGTGCATGCAACCCATGGTTCAGTTCCCAGCACCGCAGAAACATGGTGGTACCCACCTGTGACCCCAGCACTAGGAAGACTGGAGGAGGAGGAACGCTGCAGGTTACAAGGCCAGCCTGTGTTATACAGTAAACTCTGCCTCAGAAGCACACTCCTCTCACCTCCCTACTGAAAAAGTTTTGACTGCAACCAATTAAGCCGACTGGGTTCCTCTCCTGGTGGATCCTTGGTGTGCAATGGCTGCAGACAGCAACCTCCTGGGTAGTGTATGCAGCCTATTCCTTGTATAGGTTGCTCTAAGGGACCTAGGAGACAAAGCTCTCCAGTTGGTGTTCTTGTCTCTAATCTCACAGTGTTTAGAATTTAGTGTTGAGACAAGTATGCAGGATGGCTTTGGCAAAACCCAGGGCTTGATTGCTGGGATTCACACTGGCCAAGCCATTCTGTCCTCTGCACCCAGTAGCACAGTAGAGAAGTAAGTGAGATCCCATTTGGGACAGGTTGAAGCTTTCTGATCCCTATAGCCTATATCTCAAAGAAGTGGGCCTTTTCCATACAGATTTGTTGTGGGTGGATTAGGTGGTGTGATGACTGGGGATATAGCTCAGTGTTAGAATACTGTGCCTAGCATGCCTGGCCTTAGCTTCCATCCCTGTCACCTGGGGGTAGAAGAAAGACTCTTAAGTCATTGTCAAGAATATAACAGGAAGACCTAAAGGAGGGCTGTGTGTGGAGATTATTCCTAAGTCAGGGCCGTTTCTTCTGTTTTTGTGAATCTCAGAGTTGTTTCTCACTAAGTAGTAACTCAGGGCTGATGAGAGCAGCTGGAGCCAACCAGTCAGGATTCGGATGGCATCTCAGGGTATGGCAGTAGGTTTCATTGCATTGCAATTCTCTTCCCTTGGTGTGTGTTGTAGTCACTTACTTGTGTTCTAAAAGAGATGCACTGCTCCTAAACTTGGCTGACTAGACAAGGAGGTGGAGCTTCTCAAGCCATAGGAGTGTAGTTAGAGGTCAGGCACTCTCATTGAGGTGGTAAAAGCAGTGTTTTTAGGATCACAGTAGAGGTTCTTAACATAAAAGTTGTCTGATGCTGGAGGAAGTTGCTTGGTTTCTTTGAAAATTGGAGAGCCTCTGTTTCCTTCCTCAGGGTGCTGAAGCAGCAAATGTGACTGGTCCAGATGGAGTTCCTGTAGAAGGGAGTCGTTATGCTGCTGATCGGCGCCGCTACAGACGCGGCTACTATGGCAGACGCCGTGGACCTCCCCGTAATGTATGTTGTCTGTCCCTAATCACTGATTGCAAATACTCTCATGTTTAAAACAGGATGAACATAAAAATATATCAGTGCCGTATTTGAAGGTGCCGTGTCCTGGAGATAAAAGAGACATGGTTATTCTTTGAAGGGGAGTGTTTTAGTGCCCAGATTTTATTTTATATCTCTGCTATTGAAAACATGACAGTCAGAAGTTGTACCATTTAGGATGTACTTGGTGACAAGTAACATTCAAGTATCTTGTAACAGAAGGTTTAATTAAGGTGTCAAGATGTCCATAGGCTTTCTCTTCGGCCAGGTTCATTGTGTGATATTCACTGGCACCAGGATTGGGGTTCCCCACCCCAGCTCTGCAAGCTGTTTCTGCCTTGGTGTTGAGATAGCTGGCTTCTAAGACAGTCGGCATTTAGTTAGCAAGAGTCGGGGATATCTTGGGAATCTCAGTGCATGCTGGCTGCAGAAGTGCTAAGCGACTTGCTTCAGTTAAGGGCCTACTTTATGTAAGCCTTGTGCTCTTATTTCAAGGTAAGGAAGAGGTGAGTGGTTACTGGTTTGTAGTTCTTCGGGTTAGTGTCAGTTCAGGTGAAAGCATTTTCAGGTGAACTGGCTGGAGCATTCTTGGCTCAGTTTACAGGAATGTTCTCAAGGTAACCATTATGAAACCAATTGTGATCATGAGGAAGGACCTTGCTAGTTTTGAATTAAGACTATATATTTTTGATGTTTGTGGAAGTAGATCCTGGTGCCAGCACCCCGTGTCTATGTCAGAGTTAGCACAGTGTGAAAGTTGCTTAGTTGCTTATGTCATACAAAGAGAATCTTTAGAAAACTCTCAAAAGAACGAAATATTTTGAGATTAGTCAGGCATTATGGATGACTCTTGTCTTTAATCTTAATACATGGGGGATGGTGCTGAGGGAGACAGATGGTGATCTCCTGAGTTCCAGGCCAGCCAAGGCTACATAGTGAGACCTTGTCTCAAAAAAAAAAAAAAGGGAAAAGAAGAAAATCTACAAATATAAATACTTGCTTCCATTTTGATAGACACACATCTTTTTCTAAGTGCTTCTGATTTCCAGACTGTCCTCAACTCCTGTCCCAGGTTTTTATTGTATTCCTTACATTTTTTTTGTTTGCATTTTTCTTTTTCTTTTTTTTCCTTTTATTTTTTTTCCTGTTTTTTGGTTTTTGTTTAAAAAGTAGTCAGGAGGACTGACCAGAAAGCTCAAAGTGCCTGTCATATAAACATGAAGACCCTACGTCAGCACCTGCTGGGGACTAGGGCAGAGACAGGTGGATCCCTGCAGCTCATCATATGGCTCGCCTAGCTGAATTCATGAGCTCCAGGTTCAGTGACAGTCCCTGTCTCAAAAAATACAGTGGAGAACAGTTGAGGAAGACACACGGCACCAGCTTGTAGCCTCCACATATGTGCACATGCGTGCATCACTTAATCTTTGAGGGGCGGGGATGGACAGTTTGCCTTGTGGTGATGTTAACTTGTTTGTTCATGGCCCAGATCTCTAGCTGTGATCAGCTTGATGTCTACATCAATTCAGAGGTAAAAGTGGTAGAAAATCTTGGGTAAGAATTTTTTAAAGATTGTTCCCTCCATAGATAAATCAATATCTATGTGGAATCTTCTACTGTCCTGACTCTTGAGTATAGTCAGCAGTGGTGGTGCCATTGTGATTGCCTTGTAAAGGTCTTTAGGATTTAGCTGCATGAGCTTAAGAGTTATGCCTTCAAAAATTGATGTGGTGAATATTTTCTATGCAAAATATATCTTTACATAACTGTGCATCATTTATTCATACAGGTTTTATAAAGAGTAGAATGAGCCAGGCCTGGTGGCGCAGGTCTGTAATCCCAGCTACTCGGGAGGCTGAGGCAGGAGGATCGCAAGTTCAAGCCCTGTTTGGGCTACAGAGTGAGTTCAAGGCCAGCTTGAGTAACTTAGTGAGACTCTGTCTCAAAATGAAGAGTTAAAAAGAGGGCTGGGATATAGCTAAGTAGTAGAGTGCTTGTCTAACACGGATGGGCCTCTGAGTTAAGCCCCGGTACCCCAGGGAACCATGCTGTTGGTTTGTGAAGTCAGACCAAACTAGTTCTGTGGGGAGTTTAGTTGGGCTTGTGGGTTTGGTTTGAAGATTTAAACCTATCCTCTAAGAGAGACTGGTCAATAGCTTATTAATTTTCAGTTAACCTTAAAGGAATTGCAGGTATTTCTTATAAGACTGGCTTAAGTGAGATTTGAGATAATAAATTCTTGAGTGTTTGCTGGTTTGACTTGTTGAAATAATGAATAGAGGAAAAATGAGTGATTAATCCCCTTTTAAGTTCTGTATTTAGAAATGGTTAGTATAACAGTTAAACGTTATTTTTTGATATTCAAAGGAAAGGGTACAATGCATCCTATCCCTCAAGCTTTTTGATTTTTGAACCCACTTTTAGGCTTAACTGGTAAAGTTTCCAGAATCGTTAATGGTATTGATACTGCTATTATATTATACATTAAAATTACCTTAAAATATTTCATTTAAAATAACTTATTTCATAGTGATAAAACATTTTAATTGACAATCCTGTGCAAATCGGGAGGGCAGACTGGCATTGCACTGCATCGTTGGGTGTCTCTGATGTATAATTTAATAGAAGATAGTTGGATTCTTAGTTTTGTGTTTGGTCTTTTGAGGGACTGCATACCGTTGAATGCTAGAAGATCCCTCCGAATGCTGGTGAGAGATGAACCTCTTAGTGGAACTCTGGGAGTGCTTTGCCTCTGTTGCCCCTGGAAGGCTTTCAGAGACGCAGCTGTCCTAGGAAACATACTGCCTGGGTCAGATCTGCTGACCTAAACATCCTAAAGTTTTTTTCTTGACAGTTCTTGACTTTCCATGCTGGGTAAATTTGGGAGACTCATTGAAAGGAGCCAAACAGTGTAGCACGGCTGTTCTAATTCAGTGCCATTAGATTTGGTAGTAGATTGATTGCTCTTGCTTTTCTGCTGCTTGATATATTATCTGCATAGATCTACTTTAATCTCCATGTAGTTTATCCCAGGCAATCTACATGCCTGTGTCTGCACAGTGTTGTGTCTACACAATGAACGGTCACTGCTCTGGGAGTTGTGGGTGTTTTCCTGGTGATAGCCATCCTAAGTGGTATTCTTTGGTTCTTGCCTGGCTGTAACTTCTTCTGAAACTCTGTTTCTTTGCTTCGCTAGTACGCTGGGGAGGAGGAGGAGGAAGGGAGCGGCAGCAGTGAAGGATTTGAACCCCCTGCCACTGATGGGCAGTTCTCTGGGGCCAGGAATCAGCTGCGCCGTCCCCAGTATCGCCCTCCATACCGGCAGCGGCGTTTTCCGCCTTACCACGTGGGACAGACCTTTGACCGTCGCTCACGGGTCTTTCCCCATCCCAACAGAATGCAGGTAAAATGCACCGGGGACTTCTCCTCAGCAGTCCTCACCCTTCGTCCTTCTCTGCCTCCTCCTTCTTCTCCTCCTCCTTCAACTCCAGCTACCGGAAGTAACACATTGCTTGTAGCTTACCATACTGTCAAAGCTGAGGCAAGGCCCACTCTGCCTGTTGAGAACACTCAAAGAAACGTTTTTTGAAATAGATCATAAACATGCATATCTTATGGGACAATAGAATAGAGTATCTAGTTTGTAAATGTGTAAGAAAAACCTGCTAGGCATGGTGATGCATGCTGAGGCAGGAGGAATCTTGAGCTCAGAACTAGTCTGTGTTACATATTGAGACAGGTGATATGTGTAAGAACTTGGACTCAGACTCTGATCTCCAAAAGGGCCTAAATTTTAATTCTGTTTCCACTACTGTTTATTTAAAAATTTGAGAAAATGGTTGTTCACCTGTTGAATGGTGGCATCAAATGCCTTTACTAGAATGTTCTATTAAACACGAGGGTGGAGCACATTGGAAAATGTAAAGTGTTAAATTCGATGAAAGTGCTGGTTTTCAGGCAGGCTAAGAATCTACAGATTGAGTGCTGGAAATGGTAGAGCTTTTGTGAATGTGTAATAAGCTTGACTGCAGTGTCTGATTCCTGGGGAACTTGGGCCCTGATTTATTACTAGCTACAGCTCCCGTCTTAGTGTGCTTGGGCTCCACCCCCACGTGTTTTGACTGAACATTATGTTCGGTCTCTGCTGTATCCTCCCCTCCCCATCATGCATGACTGTTGTCTCTACAAGGCTTCTTGTTTTCCCCTTCTAACTCTTCAACAGCTGCTCCTGACAAATGTGCTAAAAATAACAGGCCGTGTCAGATGGATGGGAACACTGGGTACACGAGGCGTAGTAGGCGTCTTCAGGGCAGCACTCTGGCTTCTAGGAAATGAGGGCAAGAGCAGTCAGCAGAGTTGTAACATTGGCTATATTGCTTTAGCAGTGACTTCCTGGGATAACCATACTGTTTGGCACATATGAGGTATGCTTCCTGAGACCATAGTGATTCTTTGCAGTTTTTAAAAGAGGATAGTCCCTACTGAAGACCAGAACAAAATGGTTCCTTAGTGCCACAGTGTCATATGACTTACTGCTGATTTCCTAGCAGCATGCTTACTCTCAGCAACACGTAACTGCATGTGGTTGTGTGTAATGCTTGCCAACCATAGCCATTCCATATTGAAAGCAAAGCACATGGTAGATGCTGCAAGAGTCTTTCATGCATACCACTTCAGTGCTGGCACATAGTTTCTAAGTCTCCTTATCCTTAAGCCAGATCAACAACTGAAATCGAAAATGTAGTAAACATGTTTTTTACATGTGTCTAGGCATCTTTAATGGCACTGCTGTAAACTATTTTACAAAGTAAGGGTGCACCCACTGCAGAGTGAAATTTCATGGAGCAGTAGTGTTTGTGTAATGCTTAAGGGCATTTATCAGTAGCCAACTGTTGGCAGTGTGTATTTGGCCCCTGACCTTAAGAGAGTCACTGATGAGAAAAGGAAACAACACTGTGGTACCTACGAGGTGCAGATGTTTGAAATTCTAATTTCATTTTACCAGCAGCCTATGAAATAACTAGTGTGGCTTTCATGGTGTTTTGCTTTTCTTACAAATAAAGAGATTTGAATGTTCTTAAAAATTACAACTTTTGGTGATTAGAGTTCTCAATACTCTTGCTGTGCAACCACAAAGATCCAGGGTCAAATCACTAGAAACCATGTAAAGCTGGGCCTAGCAGTGTGTGTATGTGGGGCCTGCTCTCCTCCAGGAAGTTTGGGAACAAACAGACGCTCCACAAGCTTGCAGGCCAGCTAGCCTGACTTCCACAGTAGCCAACAAAAAAGACCCTGTTTCAAACATGGTGGGATGCAAGAACCCATCGAATAGCCGGGCATGATGTTCCATGGTTTTAATCCAGCTTTTGATTGTGAGACCAGCCTAGTGTACAGAGTTCTAAGACAGCCAGGGCTACACAAAGAAACCCTGCTTTGAGAAACTAAAGTAAAAATAAAAAAGCAATTAAACATCATGTACCCCCACACATGATAATGGACCAGTATGTTTTCTGCCTATCTTTTGTCATTGGAGTGTTTAGGATGTTAAAGGCAGGCGCATGTGGTTGGGGTAGTAACTGCAGGGAGGAAGTGAGCAGGATGAGATGTTGGAAAAGGCAAGGTCATTCCTACCAAAGCTCAGTAAGGATCTTTTGCTGTAAGCGTGTTGAAGCGAAGATGGGCATCTGAGCCAAGAATAAGCATCGTGACATTATCTATTCTTGATTGACCAAACTATTGGGGGCAATGAGCAAATCAAGGGGCTGGACCATGGTAAACAGTGTACGTGTGAGTCAGATACTGTACTACCAGAGCAAGTGAGGCCCCGTGGTCAGGGCTGGGTAGTGCTTTAAGCAGGCGATGTTTGATAATTTCAGGAATATGTGGTGTGTGAGGAGTTGGTACCTCTATGGAGTTCGGCAAAAATGTGAGAAGAATAAAGAAAGATTGAATTGCAGGAGGAAGCTGAAACCGTTTTGAAAGCCTTTCTTCTATAGCAAGATTGGCAGAAAAAGCAGTCAGAGGTCAAGGGTAGCTGAACAGAGGAAAGTGTCATCTAGGTGTGGTAGGTGACAGGATTGTGGTTTTTGTGGAGAAATTTCAGTGCAGTGGAGCAATGGCACCAAGGACAGCAGAGTGGGGAGTGTCAGTAAAGGGAGCTGCAGGTGCCATAGGGTTGCCAGGGATACGTGTCAGGGCTGAGATTGAGAGGGTGAATATTGTTTGACAAACGGCTGTGGGAAGGGACATGCTTGGAGGGTATTCCACGAAGGAACTGTTACAGAAGTTGAGACGTAGAGGAAATGAGACTGAGATTGGTGGTCAGGTTTGATAACTTGGAGTGGAGTGTTATGGTGAGAAGTTGAACTGTGTCAGGAAGTGGGAAGAGAGACTGCATGCTATGCTCTTTGATGCCCCTGATGGTTGATAGTGATAGGGCTGGGTTTTCTGTAGCCAGTGTATCTTTAAAGGAGCTTAGAGAAATGTGGAACCATGGCAAGGTAGTTTTCTTGATTTGTTTTATGGTGCTAAAGTTCCCCCGGCTTCATTTGCTGCTTCTTTAACATACGAAGAACTTCTGGCCGAAGGTGCTAGAAGAGGCAAGTGAAGGTAGGCATATACATGTAACACATCGGACTGTGTGTGTATGTTCTGTGAGTGCACTGCTGCTTAAAGACCCAAAGCAAGGGACCCCAGGAGTGCTGAGCATAGCTCATCCCCAGGTGTTGTTTCTGGGTGCAGTTCTTCAACAGAAAGAAGCCCCTTTCTAGAAATGTATGCTGTCTGAGCTGGGTCAGAGAAAATACAGAGCAAACCTTTAGCATCCTGTGCCACAAAGGCAGGAAGTACTTTAAGGAATGTTGAGACTTGTCCGGAGGCTGTGAGCCAGAATGCAGGAGTTCCTGTTGGCCAGCAATGGATGTACCAGAGTGTAGCCTGATGCGTGACATGGAAACCTAGGAGCCCGTACAGGTGGAATAGATGGGTGACCGTAGGAAACAATGGAGGACTAGGACGTTTACAGACTGAAGGGACTTTCTTACAGAGCATTCAGTGGAGACCTCTCCTATCAGCAGTACATGAATTTAATGTAATGCAACCCAAATTCAGATGCTCAGCTCGTGAAAGCCAAGAAAGGTGAAACATCCCAGCCTAAAAGAAATATAAATAAACTTAATATATGATTCTAAGTAGACCGTGCTGTAAGGGACATTGACACCTGGTAAAACTAGAATATAGTCTGAGGGTTGTTCTGTGCGACCCATTGTGGTTGTTTTAAAATGAAAGGTAAGTGTGGTTTCAAGAGGCTTACCTGCCTTAGTCAGAGATAGAGTGGAGATAAATAGGCTTACTTTCAAGTGTTGAGAACAAATGTGAACATGAAGTCCTCATCCAGGGTAAAACTGAAATTAATCATAAGGAGACTAGTGGGCATGCTCACTAGTGATGAAAATGTTCATCTTTCTTTAAAAAGATGAAGAATGTATTTGGTTCTGAGGAGGGGCCAGGAGGTGTTTTTGTTCTTGAGACAGGGTCTCATTGTATAGCTTAGGTTGACTTTAGACTAACAGTGATGTCCCTGCCTCAGTCCTTTGAATTGTGGGGTTACAGGTTTGTGCCATCATATCTGACTGGAATGGGTTGTTGTTTTATGAGTGTGAATGGAGACGTGGAGGTCAGAGGTCAATGACAGGTCTTTCTCTATTGATCTCTACATTGCTATTACTTGAGTACTATTTTGTGCGTGTGTTGTGGGAGCAGTGTTTTGTCTGCCTGTTCTACATGCATACCTGGTGCTCTTGGAGGCAGAACTGGACTTAGCGGTAGTTGTGGGCCACTACATCGATGCAGACAGTGTACTTAACCTCTGAGCCATTTTACCAATCCCCGCTACCTTATTTTTGAGACAGGATCTCAAAGCTGGCCAGTGATCTCCAGGGATCTGCCTGGCTCTGCCTCCCTGTTTATGGGATTTCAGGTGCATGCCTGGCTTTATACATTGGTACTAGGGATCTAAATTTAGGTCCTCCAGCTTGCAAGGAAGGCACTTTGCTGACCGAGCACTCTCTTTCCATCATGTGGGTCCCTGGGTGCAAATCCAGGTTGCTAGTCCTAGAGGCAGGTACTGATATCCTAGGAATTTTTAAGTTGGGAGTGGTGGCTATGCAGTTGTAATTCTAGCACTTGGTAGACTGCGGCAGAAGGATCACACATTTGAGGCTAGCTGAAGCTGTCGTGCAGTACCTTGTCCCCCTGCCCCCACACACTAAATAAAAAGCACATTATACTTTTAAGTGTTAAGTGGCATAAGCAGATGAAAAAGTTAACAAAGAAGAGCTATAGGTAAAGTTATGCTTAAGTACTGGGTTCAGTACTGAGTTGAACCCAGTCTTTAATCCTACCCTTAGCGACTTCTGTGCGTCTTACAGACATTATCGTGTGACAGCAGGGGCATGGATGGAAAACAAGTTAAGTTAATGGGTCAATGCATCTGAGTTTGAAGCAGTTGAGCTTGTCCCATTGCTCAGAAATACAGTGTCATTTCCTAAAGGAGTTTTTGTGTTTGTTTTTGGTGCTGGGAACCAGTTCTTTGCCTGTGCAGGGTGAGAGCTGTGCCAGCTGAGCTGTAGCCGAAGCCTCTAAAATCGTCTCTTCAGTGTGGATAGGGTCAGATTTTAATGTTGTGGGAAAGCTCAGTGCTCTGTGCTAAGGAAGTGGGGAAAGGCTGTTGGGGTAGAAATTAGTTTTCCTTTCCTGTCATTCATAAAAATAACTAGTAGGTAGCGGACTGTTGTGACTGGTGTGTCAGGCCGGATAATGAAGTCCTTGGCTCTGTTTGCTTTTGAAAGCCAGGTTTCTGCACGTGCCTATGTGCTTTGACCCTCCTTGCCCTGTTTCCCGACTCATTTCCAGCTGTCGTTGCCCTCTCTAGGCTGGTGAGATTGGAGAAATGAAGGACGGAGTCCCTGAGGGAGCACAGCTCCAGGTTCATCGGAATCCAACTTACCGCCCAAGGTTCCGCAGGTAGGAGTGATTGCCACAGCTTTGGAGGTAGCCAGTGAGGAGCAGCAGAGTGGAGGGGGCACTGTGGCTCTGTTTCCTGGCAGTTTATTATTGAAAGATATGGTGACTTTGGTCATAAGCCTGAAAGTTTCTTTTTTTCTTCTTCTTTTTTTCTTCTTCTTTTTTTTTTTTTTTTATGGTGGGAATAGAGCCCAGGGCTCCACCCAGCGTTAAAATACTTTACTCTTTAGCAGTCAAAAATGCTGTTCTCTAATTGGGATTGTTGGTCATGGCCTCCAATAAAAGTCACATAAATTACTTAATCTTTACTTGTGTTGACACAGAGTCTTAACTCTGCAGCCAAGTCTTGCTTCATATCTACCATGTAGTCTAGGCTTTCATATCTACCATGTAGTCTAGGCTGCGTTACATTTGGGCTCCTCATGCCTCACCCCTTGGCTTTCCTCGTCTGAAATTACAGGTGTTTGACACCATGTCTGGCTTAATGCTTAGTTTTTACTAAATTAAACAAGATTTAATTGACGGGTAGTTTAGTGTGCCAGAAATGGAGGAAAATTGAGGTTGAATATTGTAATCATCAAGGCAGTCCACTGGGGCTTTTGAATCTGTCTGTGGAACCATAACCCATGAAGAATCAGAGTTTAGTGGCTGCTGTATGTCATTTGACATGTTTCTATACTCCGCTGTGGCTTCCAGATCTGTTCATTGGACATTTTCAATGGGCATTCAAAGCTGGAGGCAGAGTCTGGTGGATCTCTGATTTCCAGACCCATCAGGGCTTACCAGTAAGGCCCTGTTTCAAATACCAAAATGGGTGGAGTCATTTAGTGATGAGAAGTTTGAATGAATAGATGATCTGTGATAATGATCATGGTACCCTCCTAACACCCTGGGTGTCAGCCCTACTGTCATTGCTGTTAGTGAAGGGTGGGTCATTTTCACGTACGTTTTCTCTTCCAAAGCCTCATTTGGGCTACATTCCCTGACATTGACATCCTTTGGGTGACTGTTTTGTTTGGTTTCAACCTTAAATATCCCTTGTATGTGTTCCTCAACATGTATGAGTAGATCAGAGGACAGATCTCTACCTCAGCCTCCAGGGATGGAATCCAAGCCATGGGACATAACATTTCGAGTGCAGGTGCTCTCCACCGAGAGCCATTTCACTGTGAGAGCTTCATAATGGAGGCTTTTGTCAGTTCCTTCTCACTGGGGAGGTGAGGGAACTAATGGGCTTCCTGGGTGGTGTGTCTTACATGTTGCCCCTCCCCCCATCTGCAATCTGGGAACCAGAGAACTGGTGCCACTTTCAGACTTAGGAAATATTAACATGTGTTTCAGTGGTTGAACATCCTCATTCAGAATGCTTCAGGATGTTAGTTAAGACTTTTAAATGGTTTTTTTTTTTTTTTGGCACTCAGAAATGTCAAATTCAGTGTTTTAAATTTGTGGCTAGGGATACTGAACCTATATCTTCTAATTCAGCAATAGGGATTTATTCAAACAAAAATAAAGTATATTGGGGAAGAATTTGTACCATGACCTACCTTCCTTATATGGTTGATTCAGTAAGTCTTGGTCTTGGTTTGGGTCATCTTTTGTGGAGCCTGCATCCTGGGCCATACTCTTTCTTCATTCTCGTATCCTAGGTGCCTATCAAAGTGCCTTTTAGGACCTTATCTATTTACTGTGTGCTTGTTTACTACAAATGTGTGAACAAGTGAAGGAGCAAAATAATGGAGTTTTTCACCAAGACTTCATTGCATCTGCATCTGCAGGTCTGGTCTGTGGATGATTCATTCAGCAAGTACTTGTTAATCACTTGATTCAGTAGTAAACCAACCCTGTGTCCTTGAGATCCCTCCCACCCCTAACCCTGCCCACACATTTTCTTCAGTCACACTGTATGTGTTCTCATGTAGCTTCTGTTCCTTGCTCTAGGGGACCTGCTCGCCCACGACCTGCCCCTCCTATTGGAGAGGCTGAAGATAAAGAGAACCAGCAAGCTGCCAATGGCCCTAACCAGCCATCTGCCCGCCGTGGATTCCGGCGCCCCTACAACTATCGGCGCCGCCCCCGTCCCCTGAACACTGTTTCACAAGATGGCAAAGAGGTAAAGTCAGCCTCCAAGAGGGACGTACCCAGATCATGCTTAGTTGTGCCGTCTTCGTTATTATCCTAAAGATGGTCTTGCTGTGTGTGACACTGGGTACTTATAAGCACAGTATTTTGCTTAGGGTCCATCTGTGGAGAACGTGCTCTGCCTATTCCACAGCTGAATGTGTGACTTGAGCTCGGTAGTGGTCTCTGGAGGGATCACACTGAAGGACAGCAGTTGATAGAGGAGGAAATTGATGGTGAACAAGTACAAAGTGACAGCAATTATGTGCCATGTACTCTGGGGAGAGGGGTATTTATTGGCCAACTAGAAGGCACTTAATCTCTGACTTACACATAAAAGAGAAGTGGAAATGTTCATTGTTATTTGTTTTCCTAAGTGAGAAAATTCTCTTTTGAGACCCTTTACCCTTTGAAACACAGTCTGCTGAAGGATTTTAGTTCTGCTTTTGATCTGTTTCAGACCAAGGCTGGTGAAGCACCAACTGAGAACCCAGCTCCAGCCACCGAGCAGAGCAGTGCCGAGTGACCCTGGCCCCCAGGCACCTTCACCACCAGCAGGGTGAGCCTTGTTCTCTAGGGGTCACCCGTGATCTCACTGTGCCCATCCTTGGTCTCCATTGCACCTTGGGGGTGGAGGATGTGGGGATAGTTGAGCACACAGTATATTTGGGATTGACCTGTTTGAATAAGTTAAGGTATAAATAAGGAGACAGAAATGCTTAATTAAAAAAAGGGAAAAAAATGAAATGAGAGAATAAATGATCTCCACTTTTTCTAAGGTAACCCTCATTTATTCAAGTTCATTTGATCATGGGATCTGGGAGGGGAACTCAGAAATGCTTATACAACAAGCACATTTGCCCTCTGAGCCATCTTGTTGGCCCAATTTTATCATTTATGCTTGTTTTATGTAGACAATATTATTTTTTAAGTTAGTGTCGATGTGTCTGTCTGTATGGTGATGTATGCTTGTGAGTGTGAGTGCCCACTGCGTCCAGAAGAGGCTATCAGATGCTCTGGAGCTGAAGTGTAGGCAGTTAGGAACTGCCCAGTGTTGGGACTGAAAGCTAAACTCAAGGCCTCTGGATGAGTAGCAAGCACTCTTAACTACTGAGCCATTAACTATTTTTTATGTATGTATTCATTGGTGGTGTCTTCCTTTGTAACCCTGCCTGGCCTGGTGTGCGCTTCTTTGAACTGAAGGCAATCCTGTTTCAAGTTTCACCAAGTGCTTGGGTTTATGGGCTTGTGCCCGTGTACCTGGTTTGACAGTCGGCTGCTGTGTTTGTGTAGAGAGCAGAGCTCACTTTCTCCTCTTGCTCTCTACCTTATTTTTTGGGATAGAGTCTCACTGAGCCCATTGACTAGACTCGTTGGCCACTGAATTCCTTTCTGTCTAATATAGGGCACTAGGGCTGCAGATGGACCCCTGCCACCCATTTCCTGTGAGTGCTGGGTATTACCTCACTTGTCCTTATTGTGGCAGGCACTGTTCTGAGTCATTTCCCCAACAAGGACACTTAACAAAACCTGTGCTGTTTTGCCACCTACTAGTTAATGTCATTTTTTTGCTTTGGTTTTTATGACAATCTTTTAGTACATAAGTGTGCTGGTATACACATTAGTTCCTAGCACATGGAAGACTGCGTTCCAGGACAGCCAGAGCTACATAATAGAGATATTGCCCTGTCTCAAAGAACAAACAGACAAAAGGATTCTCACAGTATAGCTCAGGCTGTCTGAACTTAGTGAGCCTCTAGGATGACCTGCATGCACCACCACACTGGGCCCAATTTGATAATTGAATGGTTCCCGACCAGATCCTGGTTTTAAATTCCAGGGAACTGCTACCCGCAGCATAAACTTGGTTTCTCTTTGCCCATCTTCTGATCAGCATTATGTGACAGTACAGTGTGGTGTGAGATCTAGTGAGGCTCCTGCAGCTCTGGCCTGCTCGGCGACTACGGATTGAGCAGTTCATCCTCTGCCTCATTGACGTCTGCTGTTGTTGGCAAGAGCAGACACGGGGCTGTCATGGGAGTGCCTGAAGTAACACTGAGGTATTAGAGTAGAACAGAGAAGAGTAACATCTCTGTGTGAGGATCACCCATTTTCTGTCTTGCTAAATTTCTTGTCAGTCTTACTTGTGTAGATTGAAGTGTAGCCAGGAAGGAGCAACTGTCAGAGGGTTGGGCTAAAAGTTTAGACCATACTTGATTTTGGTTTTGGGTTTTGTTTTTTGTAGTATGAGCAGCGGGCGGCATCCCACTGCCCACCTCTCGGCTAGCTTTACCCAAAACAATTACACGGAAACTGTATTCTTTTAAACACTGCTTGGCCCATTATCTGTAGCCTCTTATTAGCTAACTCTTACATATTGATCTAACCCATTTCTAATAATCTGTGTAGCACCGCGAGGTGGTGGCTTACTAGGAGGATTCTAACCTGCAGCTGTCTCGGAGAGGAGAGTCATGGCGACTGCCTGCTTCTGCTTTCTTTCTCCCCCAATTCTGTTCTGTCTACTCCAAACACCTAAGGGCTGGCCTATCAAAAAGGCCAAGGCAGTTTCTTTATTAGCCCATGAAAGTAACACATAGACAGTTAACCCTCCTCCATCATTTCCTCTTTTTCTGTTTAAACAAAGAAGAAAGGCTTTAACTTTAACATAGTAAAATTACATACAACAAAACAGTTATCAAGCAAGAATTACAGTTACAATATTTATATCTACTTTATCTTTTATCATAACTAAGAAAAACTATAATTAACCATTCTCCAACTCCATCAAAGACTTCAGAAGGATATAATATTACCTAATTAAACAAGAAATAAGCAACTTCCAAACTCGAGAAATGACAGAGACATCTCGCTGCCTGGATAGTCACCCAAAGTTCTTCTGTACCGTTGGGGCATCCATCTTCAGCCTTCAGGCCCATAGTAATCCAGCAGACTTTTCCATGAAGCAGGAAAATTCAAAGACAGTTCAGTCACTTTTTGCTGTGTCCTGCAGAATGTCTCGTAGACGCTCATAAATCAGGAACTCTGAAAGACAATCTCATCTTTAGGCAAGTTCAGCAGTTCTCTCTCTATGGGTTCTTTGTGTTCAGTTCATGCAGCAGTCCAGGCAAGAGCAGTTTCTTGCCCAAATGGCTATCAAACTCCATAAGGAGCCTCTTCAATGTCCATCTTCCTCTTGAAGTAGATTGGTGCAGCCAGGAGCAGACATGTCTCATTGTCATGAAAAGCCCTAAGTTATTAAAACATTTAAAATGCCATATTTTGTAGTCTTTGAAAGATATGAAGAATGCCTATCTAACTGAAATATATCTCTATATATCTAGAAAATCCAACTAACATAACTACAAGCTTGACTATCATTGACGATTATCCATTAACAACCCATATTTCCTAATTATACATTACATTTTTAAATAACTACACAATCACAATACCTTAATCAAGAGCAGAAATACATATACGTATAACAAAATTGACCTTAGAATCCATACCAATGCAAATTATTCATATCTATATCATATCCCCCTTTAAATGTAAAAGAACATTTATAAACAATATCTGGGAATATGGGCGTAGTTATTTCTCTCCAAACTTCTTCCTGCTGAATAGGAGTGCTGTTAATCAGGTCTTTTATGATAACCTGTGTGCTAGGTTCATCTCAGTTGGCAGTTGAGTGAAGTAATTTCTTGAGGGTGTTCACAGCAACCTTTCAGGAGGACATGGTCTATCATACCATATTGGGATAGAAGCAATCCACCGGGTCTCATCCTCTGTGAAAACAAAAGAAGAAACTCTTTTCCAAAACATGATATCCTTAGGTCCAAATTTTGAAGTCAAGATACCTTTAGAACATATATGGAGGTTCAGCTTAGCAGCCCATTTAATGAAATGTCTCTCTGTAATTAGCTCCTTTACTGTCAAAAGATTTAAAGAAAACAATAATACGAAGAATCCAGACTGTTTGTGGATTTTCCGTTTTTATGTGGCTTATTTTTATTTATTGTTTTTAATCTATAACTATCTGTACTCTGTCTCTTTAAAGACTTTACCCTTTTTTTAAGGCATTAACTTTATATATTCTTTTTCTTCTCTCTCCCAAGCCTACGTACAGTCATCCAACATTGTCACCCATTTATAGGTCTTGTATGTCTGAATCTGTCCTATTGTGAATCTGTAATATTTTTAGTATCCAGGAGCACTTCTTAATATGCTAAGCAGTTCTTAAAAACTTAAGTTGCACCATGTAGAGGTAATACGGTACTGCCAATTTCCAGTCTAAACCTTAACTGCGCTTTTATTATGATAATTACGATCATTTCTGCCTGAGGTCCGCACAGTTTAGCCTGGCTGAGTGGAGCCAGAGCCGCTCCAGCCTCAGAGCGGAGCACAGTACCAGGCACACAGCAGGTCCACATTGGAGCCGCACTCAACAGTTTAATTCTGAGACTGAGCGTGCAGCACAGAAACTCTTTTCATCCAAGTTACCGTCAAATCTGACAGGCAGAGCACTGGAAACATCTCTCTGTATGGAGGCAGAAATCTGCCATGCTCTCCCGCCTGCCTAAGCCTGGTCCCACAGTCTGCCCAGGTAGGGAGAGCAGGCATGGTCTCAGAGTATTTTCCTCCTGATCCCGAGCCGGAGTGGGAACACAAACATCTGGGCCCAGAAATGCTCCATAGCTGGAGTTTGCACCGGCGGCAGGGCCCAGGAAGCCGCGGTTTAAAATGGCGCAGCTTTTTTTCTGCCGCTAATGCTGAAACAGGAAATCTCTCTACAGCACGCCCTAGCAAACAGCAAAATCTGTGTTAAACTCTCTTTCCCTTATTTTTAAGCTCTCTCAGGTTTTTAAGTGGATTTAGTTACCACGTTGGGCGCCACTCTGTAGAAGGAGCGGCAGGCTGCTTCCTGCTGCCTGACTCCCAGCTAGCTTTATCCCTGAAATAATTACACGGAAACTGTATTCATTGAAACACTGCCTGGCCCATTATCTGTAGCATCTTATTGGCTAACTCTCTCATATTGATTCAACCCATTTCTAATAATCTGTATCTCACCACGAGGTGGTGGCTTACTGGGAAATATTCAGCATGTCTGACCTGGCGGCTAGCTGCATGGCTCTGCCTCATTGCCTTCTTCCTCCCAGCAATCTGTTCTGTCTACTCCGCCTATCTAAGCTGGTGTCCTATCAAAAGCCACAGTAGTTTCTTTATTAACCAATGAAAGTAGCACATAGACAGTTAAACCTCCTCCATCAGTTTTTGTGGGGCAGGGACAGTGAGGGAGACAGACTAGTAGTCATTCTATAGTTCTAGGTGGCCTGCAACTCATTGTCCAGGCTGGTCTTGAACTTTGGTCTAGTGTTCAGATTGCAGGCATGTTCTACCACACCTGGTTTTAACTATCACCCTTCTAAATGATATTTATGTATTTGTTCTTGCTACCGTTGTGCGTTGTAAAGCCCACTCTGCCGATGGCATTTTTTGAGAGTGCACTTTTGGGTTTATAATGAGCGTTTCTGTGCAGTGCTGTGGGGTTGGAGTTGACTCTCCCCAAAGAGCACACTGCTGTGATGGCTGGCAGCAGCATTCCTTGTTTCTTTAGGCAGAATGTACCCAGTCACTCTTCAGATCTACATTAACCCACTCTGTTGTGTGTAGAGTTAGGCTAAAGCGAGCAAGTCCCACGATGCCGGGAAGTTCCAGGTGGCATCATCATGCAAGGCTTTTCATGTGCATTATTCTGTTCTGACTTTTCTACTTTGTAAAAGTATTTCACCAGAAAGTAAAAATTTTCATCCTGTGTTATTTGTGTAAGATGTATCCTTGGTTTAGATATCCTTGGTTGTAAATACTTTTAAATTGTATGAAAAATAGTTTTTGCTTGTTTGTCCTAACTTTTGGTTATTGTATATCACTTTTGCTAAGGTTGATTTTAATTTCTTACAGGTGACCTTAAGAATTAATGACCATTCAAAAACAAGGCAAAAAGCACACCCACGACCTTACCAACACCAAAGAAACATCTAAGCAATAAAATGGAAGACTAACCAAGATTTGGACATTAGAATGTTTACTATTCTCTGTGAAACTAACACCTACAAAGGGAATGGAGCCAGCAAGTGTCCATCGAGCTGCATCCCAGGAACCTGCACAGGTGCAGGAGAGCGGCCTCCCCAGTTTCAGCAACCACTAGCTTTATATTTTTTTCCCTGGTTTTTACTGTTTTGGTAATATGAATTAAAAGAAGAAATATTAATATCACATGGGGATTGCCCCAACCAAAGAAATCTGAAATATATAGTAAATGCTCTTTTTCCTTTGTTGTTCATTTTGGATGCTGGTGCTAAACTTCCAAATGTCATGATTTAAGACGAAAATTTATGCCCTTATTTATTCCTAGGCTGAGGGGAGAATTTGCTTTCTTACATAGCTCTCTCTGAAATGTGCAGTAACAAGTTCCTCAAAAATAAAATTTTTACCTTCAAAGGAAAAACTGTTGTAGCTGGTGTGTTCTCTCTCTCTCTTCTCTCTCTCTCTCTCTCCCCGTATGTTAGTGTGCCTGGCGCCCTTAAACATCGGAGAGCATTAGATCTCCTAGAAGTGAAGGAGTTACAGATGGTTGTAAACTGCCAGGTGGGTACTGGGATCAGCTTGTGCTCTCAGCCACTATCTCCCAGCCCCACATTTTCCTGTCTTTACATTATTCAGGTCATGGGTTACTGTTAAATGCTGAACCAAACACAGACAAGTTAGTGTTTCATATGTTTTGTCATGAGTTTGAGGTCATAGGAACTGGGTCTTTGAAATATGCAACCTCTAGAGATAAGTTCGTTTCTGGTAGGGAGTGGGTGGGATGAGGTGTCGCAGGCTATTTCCTGCCCAGTCATCAGAGCAGATGCTGGATGGCCTTGAGGTATATAGTTTCAGATCTATTGTTAATTCTCTGTAGATTTATGAAGGAGTCTTAACTTTATGCCTGAGGTTTTTGACATCAAGCCATGTCCTATGTGTACTCAGTTATCTCTGGTTATTCATTCAGGGATGTGTCTAAACAAGTTGTGCCCTAACCCCTGCATGCCCATAGCCTTCACTAAAGTGGAACAGGGCCTAGCCTCCTGTCATTCCTAGGCTGCAATCAGACAAAGTAAGTGACCTGTAAATAGTTCTGAGGCTGCATTTGCGTCGTTTTGGTGATAGTGAAAGCGAAGGTCCCCTCTAAATACTTTCCTTTGAGGTACATGTCTGATTTTACATCAGGAAAAATTGTCTTTTACTTTACCTGGTGCTTCAAGTAGGGTGAGCGGTGTGATTCAGATAGGTCATAGTGCCAGTGCCAGTATGAGAGATGGGAAGTAGAGGTAACAAGAGGTAGAGCTTAAAAAGATGATAGCAAGGAGGAAAATTATTTCCAAATTTTAGAACACAAGGTGTGAAAAGATACACGTGTACAGTTGTCCAGACAATTGCAGTTTTGGTTGGGGGTAGAGAATTAAGAGTAATCTGCCCCCGGATTAGTGTTCTGTGAGTTGAGTGGTAGATGGCAGAGTCTGGTTAATTAATTATGGTATCTACTTTGCTCTCTTTTGGATAGTGACAGCTAGACATGAAACACAGCGGTCCTCAGGTCCTTCACTTTTCCCACAGACCTAGCCATCCTCAGCAGGTTAGGTGGTAGCCAAAGTGTATCAAAAAGATGGCAGAGTTTCTACACAGTGCCCCACATCGAGCTCCACCTCCCCTACAGAGTGTATTCTTTTGTCGTCACAACAGTGACTGCTTTCCAGATTCCATCTCAGCATCTGTTCACACATCCAAGTAGGTAGTTTGGTCCACATTATGGTGTGGAAGGAGATAATGTCTCCCGTCAGGCTTAGGCCAGGCTAGCTGCTGACGAGGACTGACAAACTGTCCCTGGGACAATGACTTCTGGGCGGAATACAACGGATGAAAGGTTCTCTTTATGTAATCAAGATAGTATTTGAGTATTGGGGTGTGCGTGCAGTACTTTTCATAGTAACACTAGCGTTTCTTCAGTAAGTGTATTTTACATTCACCCCCTATTCCCTCTTGTTCTGCTGATCCCCTCAGAATCTATTCTTGTGTGTGTGCGTGTGTGTTTTAGGGTTGGTCTCAGCTTGACAGTGATAATGACACTAAGAAAATTTTCTTCCTTAACACTGCTTACCATCCTCAGGACAGTCAGGTCCAGTCTTGAGCAGGGCTCCAGGCAATCACTGTCAAATCACTATCAAAAAGAAAACTTTTCACATTTATTTGTAAGCTTGACTGTGTGTGTTTGCATGTGACAGTTAAAAAGATCACTCCTGATCATGTGGGTCCTAGGGATTGAATTCCAGTCTTCAGGCTTGGTGGTGGCAGGTACCCTTTCCTGCTGAGCCATTTCAATGGTCCCTTGGTGTTTTTTTTTTTTTTTCCCAGTGTGCATGTATTTTTAGCAACTAGAAGCAAAACCAAGAAAAACCTATTGTGTTTGTGCAGGGAGGGAATACACGCGAGTACACATGCCACAGTGCATGTGGAGGTCCGAGAACAATGTACAGTTGTTTCTGTCTACTTGTACCATGTGGTTCTAGGGATTGAGCTGTCAGGCTTCACAGCAAAAGCCCTAACTAACAAGGACCCAACACAAATGCTGGCATATCAGCTAGTTGTATCATCACGTGAGTCTTGTTGAGGCAAACACTAGTAATTTCATGGATACGGGTTCTTGGATATATTTTGGGGCATCATCAACAGTGGACAAATAAGACCTCTAGCATTTACAATCTTTCTGACCACTCTGAAGTTTTCCCTGAGCCTTAGGTGTAGGGTTGTCTTGTGATGTGTCAGCTGGGGTTGGACAGCCTACAGTCACATATGGTTTGGCCAGTTGTGGATCTCTGTAATAGTCCATCTTCTGCAAAAAGAAGCTGCTTTGATGAGGGGCAGTGCCAATCAGCCACTGGCTCTCTTCCAACTGACCAAACTTAAATTACATGAGGAAGAGCCTCTAAAGACTTCAAAATAAAACAACAAAATTAAAGCAGATCAATACAACAAGTCCTCAATGAAAGTCTGGGCTTCAACTTCCTTACTCTACTTTGTGAAAGGTTTTGTTGTGTGTTTGCTGTGTGCTTCCTCATCCCCAATAAAAGCCTTTCTTTACCTGCCTGTCCCTGTTTGCTGTGTTTGAGACTCCCCTTACCTGCCATACGCAATATTTTCCTGCCTTTTATTAATTTAGCTGGCAGAGAAAAACCTCATCAAGATGGTAACACTTATAAGAGCCAGTCAGCCCTCGGGGAGAAGCCTTCCTGGTTCATTCATCTTGATTCTTCAAAGTCCTGTACCTGTGTTGTTCAAGTCTGTAGTAGTAGGAGTGTTTTACTAATGTCAATTTGCTGTTGCTTAGTTGTCAGTGCTGAGTTATCCTGTATCCATGCTTCAGTACAAAAATCACCTCACCTTCTAGGTTGAGCAATTTCTGCTTCAGTAATTAGTTTTCATAGTTCTGGGGAGAGACACAAAACTTGGTTCCATGTGTTGATTGGATTATTAAAAGTTTAAAGCTCCAGCTTGTGAGAAGGGTAAAATCGTAGTTCTCTTCTGCTTTAAAATTTTGCCTGTAGATTTTACTTAGGGCTAATATAAATCTATCGGAACTATTTGAAAAGTTTAAAGAGCTGGATGGAGCGGGAAGAAAGATAAAAATTGAAATGAACTAGGCACATTACCTCAGGGCTGTAGTACCAACTTTTCGGAGGTAGAAGTGGAAGGATTAAGAGTTCGTTCAAGGCCAATTTAGCTACTTAGACTGAAGTCAGTAGTCTCAAAACGATGAAACAGGCCAGGTCTTGAGGTAACACGTTTTTTGCTTGTGTCAAGAGGAAAATCTGATTAAAGAGCAAGTGATGATAAATCAGAAGTGGATTCTCATCACTGCATGGCTCCTGTTCCAGCTGCTGGAATTGAAAATCAAAGTGGTAATTTTTCATTTGCAAGCAGCTTTAAAAGGCAAAAACTCCACCCCCACTCAAAGGCAAAGTCCCCCTCATTACAAAATGTGTTCATTCACCTGCATGTACAGACCAACACTTCCAGTGACTCATCTCTAGAATCAAGACCACTGACTTTAAAAGCTATCTGTGAGAGATTTAAGCAAAAGAGACATAAAAGGGGAAACGCGCACCAAAATTATCTCTAAGGGGATGACTGGAAGGAAGTCAAAACACTAGCAGCAAAGGAACCTTCATTCTGGTTTCTTGCTGTCAGAAAATGGAAGCTGTTGCCATGGAGGAAAACTAACCCCCCCCCCCCCCCACCCCTTGTTGGGGGGGAGCTTTTTTTTTTTTTTTCCCACTGGAAAATGTAATATCACTGTGAGAAACCCTTGAATCAAACAGAGGCTGGTGAAGAACTCAAGAAAGATCATAGTCTCACAAGTATGTTGATGAGGGTAATGCCAATCCTGCCACTGAAGATTTATTAGCAGAAGATGGAACTCAGCCAATGTAAGGCCCTAATACGGTCTGAATCCCCCCAAAAGGTGAATGCATGTTTGGAACAAGAAAATAACAATAAAGAAATGACATTGTCACTGGAAATTCCTGGGACCAAAAATACTGAACAGAAACAGAAAGGCCTGGAAGGTTTGTGAGCAGGTGAATGGTCAAGAAGGTAGTGGATACAAAGAAAGGGATGGAGAGATGGCTCAGTGGTTAACCTCCCCGCAAGAGTTGAAGTTACAGGCAGTTGTGAGGTTTGTAACATATCCATGTTCTTCACTGTAGGTGAAGGTTTGTAGATGCAACTCATTCTACCCATGTTGCACCTATTTAGAAAAGGTATTTATTTAAGCCATGATATCATGGTACCATGTCCTCTATGGCAAACATTGTGTGACTTAGCCCTGAAGTTGGAAGTAAAGGGTACTCAAGATTACACAGAATGGCTGAAGACACTTCCTTGGCAGATTGAAATTACTGGCCCTTTGTTTTGCATTTGCCTCTGCTAAATCCTTTCCTGGTTAAGTTTCATTTTTATATGAAATAATTGCTTTGCTGGTACATATGCAACTTGGGATCATTCTTATCATCTTGAACAAATAGTAGCTATTGGATATCCAAATATTAGAGCAGTGTTTTTTTTAAAATATTAGTTGCACCATTTTTTATGGATATGACAGTTGTTGGGAGTTTGTGACTCTAAAATAAATGTCTCTTTGACTGCAAGATGTGTGGATGAATTATTGCTTGAAGGTATATATTCTGAGAAAATACATTTTTAACTTTTTATTGTATCATTTATTCATTTGTTTGGTTTTGTTATTGTTGATTGTTTTAAGCAAGACCTCATGTAGTCAGCATGATCTCAAAGTTGTTATGTACCCAAGGCTGATCTTGAATTGTCTTGTTTTTTGGAGGGAGTGGTGAAGAAAGGGTCTATTTTGTAACTCTCTATGTAGATCAAGCTGGCCTTGAACTCATAGATCTA